GGATGGTCTCGATCTCCTGACCTCCGTGAATCTGCCCGCTCGGCCTCCCAAAGTGGCTGGGATACAGCGTGAAGCCACTGTGGCCTGGCCAAAGCAGGAACCGTTCTTAACCAGGGCTACTTTTGTCCCCTCGGGGGAATACTGTTGGCCAATGTCTGTAAACACTTCTGATTGTTACAGCTGGGGATTGCTACTGGGCTTTATTGGATAGAGGCCAGGGGCTGCCTGCTAAACAGCTTACAGTAAACACAGGAATATGCCCCACAACCCAAAAATTACTTGGTCCAAAATGTCAAAAGTTGCCCAAGGTTGCATAAGCCATGGTTCTCTTAGAGGAAGCCGGACACAAACTGGTGTTGGAGGAATAGCAAAGTAAGTAGAGACATGGCCCTTCTAAGTTGCCCATGCTCGGCTTGTGGAAGCGTCCCTGGACTTCAAGCCCATCTCCTGGCCTCGGCCTCCCCCAAGGTGCCTAGGATGACAGGTCCAGCATCATGCCAAAACTAAGCATGATGTTTCTAGAAATTACTCAGATGAAACAAAAAATTAGTAAAAAGTCTAAAATTCACAAGAATCAAGGAAGCATGCAATTCAAAATCACTATGGAGATAATATTTTGTTTGACATAACTGTGTTTATGTCATTGTTTATGCAGTATTTATTCTCCAAGTTCAAAAGTCAATATATTTCTTTTCTTTTTTTTTTTTTTTTTTTTTTTTTTTTGAGATGGAGTCCGCTCTGTTGCCCAGGGTGGAGTGCAATGGCGTGATCCTCCAACTCACTGCAACTCTGCCTCCCGGGTTCAAGCAATTCTCCTGCCTCAGCCCCCAAGTAGCTGGATTACAGGTGTGGCACCACCACGCCTCAAGCTAATTTTTGTAATTTTTAGTAGAGACGGGTTTCACCATGGTTGGTCAGGCTGGTCTTGAACTCCTGACCTCATGATCCACCTGCCTCAGCCTCTGAAAGTGCTAAGATTACAGGCATGAGCCAGCACGCCCAGCCTAAAAGTCAATTATATTTCTGTAGAAATTCTGAAGCAATGTCAAGATTCTGAAGCAATTTCAAGGTTCTACATAAAAAGTAATAAAATGTGTACCAATGAGGTTTCTACATTAATCAGGCTTAGATTTTTGGGACCTGTGCAATTTCTAAAAATCAAAATCATTTTCAAAGGACAGGTACCACCAATATACAGACTCTGAAGCAATTCCCAGAAGGGAATCCCAATATAAGTTTTAAAGAGGAGAAAATACTGTTTTGGATTCATGTTTTGGTATGGTTTTTTTTTTTTTTTTTAAAAAGTCACATTACTTTATAGTCACATACTATACTGAAAATTTAAGAACTTTCTGTGTATACCAACTTTCTGTGTATAGAAACTTAATTCAGTGTTTCATTAATAGCATATTTTTACTTCAACAATAATTTTATTAAATATATATTTTAAATTAAAAAATGTACTCTAATCTTGACAAATAATGACTATATAAGATTAACTACATTCTTACAGGGTTTATGCAGAGGCATTCAGTATTCGTGATAGTGAAGGGATCGTATTTGTCTGCAATGACAAGTAGATCGGGCACAGGATACACTCTCAAAGCGTAGTCATATGCCCAATACACCGGGCAGACATAAAGAGGTAGGGGAGTCAGATGTCCTTGGGATAAGATAGTCTTTACAAACTACAAAAGAGCACAAAACAAAACAAACTTCAATTCATTTGCAAAAGTGAAAATAGCTAAACAAATAATTTCAAATTAAACCAAAAGGAACCAGAAAATTTGAGAAACAACTAGGAAAGCTTTGACTCACAGAGCTTTGGGAGACACTAATTTAAAAACGAAATGAACTATTCTGTATTTTAGGGAAAAAAAAAATCTATGAGTTTTCATTTAATAACATATATATACGTCATTATGCTGCCCAGGCTGGTCTCAAACTCCTGGCCTCAAACAAGCCTCCCAAAGTGCTGGGATTAGAGGCATAAGCCACTGCGCCTGGTCCATAAACTTTAAATATTATAAAATGAATAACACAAATGCTCTGTAACATCTATTTCCATACTTCTCAAATGGGGGTATATGTAATCTGGGATTGATAACTGTATGTGAGGGAACCTTGAAGCTACAAGATAAATACTGCACATTCTTGTGATATGGACATACTATATAAAATATGTAACCAATGGGATAAATAAGAACAGTTTATTAAAACAAATATACATATATTTTAAAGTATGATTTAAGAGTTTAAAAGACAAAACACAAAGCTTGAAAGAAATTTTCTGCTTATTCTCAGCTTTTCTCTGTCCTTTAGGGTATACACTTTGGTAGAAAGCTGCGAAACACTGACTTCACTAACAAAAATTAACTTACTGACAAAAGTATGTTCAAACTATTTTGAACCATAAATAAATGTCCTAACCCAAGGACAAATTATTAAGTGGCTTAATAAAATTTTATATAATGCAACATGTAAGACAGTTTAATAAAAAAGATGTTTCACTTACATGATTAGGAATAGCCAAATTGCTACTAGGAAAACGGACGCAGTTTCTGCACATTTTATTTACTAAGTCTTCACGGAAGACAATAATTTCCTGTGTACAGTACTGAATTCTGAAATGAAAACAGTAGTTGAATTTGACTTCTCAGAAAAAAATGAGATTAATTTTAAAGGTAAAATCTCTTAGAATACAAGCCCATTCCCACATCAACTGTTCACCATACAAAACTTCAACCAGAGTCTATCTATTCATCCATTCATTTAACAGCTATGTATTGAGCTCTTAATATATGCCTACCCCATTCTAGGGATTAGCGAACAGAACCAAGAGATCCCAGCCCTCATACAGTTTACATTCTAGTGAAGAGTGGGGCTAAGAAAATAAAAAGCAAACATAATTATATAGTATGTTTTAAGATAATTAAGTGTATGAGAAAAAGAAAAAGACAGGCTAAGAGGGATAACATATGTAGGAAGAGAGAGCCTAGAAGGCTGGCATATTAATAGGATGATCAGAACAGGCAGGGCTCATAATTTAGTGTGACTTGAGCACAGGCTTGAAGCGGAAGAGGGACTTAGTCAAGCAGATATCTAGAGGAAGCGCACTGCAGGCAAAGGGAAGATGTAGCACAGGTCCTCAGACTGGAGCTTGCCTGGCATCCTTGAGGAGCAGAAGGGAAGCTAGGGTGGCTGGAGTAAATGGGGAGGAGAGGAAATCAGAGAGAGAACGGGGCCAGATCACACAGGGCCTTGATTCCCACTGCAAGGATACGGCTGTCACTAAATCACATGAGGGGGCCCTTTTTCCAGGATCAGGAAGATGGACTGGATATGTCTTATGCTTTACAGGATCACTTTCACACTGCATTAAGAGTAGAATATGGAGGGGAAGGGGTAGAAGCTGGAGACCAATTAGGAGGCTATTGTAATAATCCAGGCCGACCAGATGGCAGAGCGGGGCTCCTCAACCCCCAGGCCACGGACTGCTAGCAGTCCATGGTCTGTTAGGAACTGGACCACACAGCAGGAGGTGAGTGGCAGGCTGCAAGCAAGCAAAGCTCCATCTGTATCTACAGCCGCTCCCCATCAGTTGCATTACATCCTGACCTCTGCCTCCTGTCAGATCGGTAGGGACATTCGATTCTCACAGGAGCACGAATCCGGTTGTGAACTGCACATGTGAGTGATCTAGGCTGCACACTCCTTATAAGAATCTAATGCCTGATGATCTGTCACTGTCTCATCATCCCCAGATGGGACCATCTAATTTCAGGAAAACAGGCTCAGGGCTCCCACTGATTCTATATTATAGTAAGTTGTATAATTGTTTTATTATATATTACAGTGTAATAATAATAGAAATAAAGTACACAATAAGTGTAATACGCTTAAATCATCCCAAAATCACTCCCACCCCCCTGGGGTCTCTGGAAAAACTGTCTCCTGTAAAACCAGTCCCTGGTGCCAAAAAGGTTGGGTACCACTGTGGTAGAGGGTTGTGGAGGTGGAGGTATAGATAGGTGGCAGATTCTGGATATAATTTGAAGTTAATAGGATTTCCTGAAAAAACATATGTGAGAGAAACCCTAAAGTGTTAGGCCTGAACAACTGGAATAATTGTTATTCAGGCCATGAAGGTGCCACGAACTAAGATGGAGAAGTCTACAGAAGAGGTTAGGGGCGCTGGCGGGGAGGAAGATCAGGAGTTCACTTAGGTTGGGATGGTGATAAGTAGGCAACTGGATACCTGAGTCTGGAGTTTGGAAGGTAGGTTGATGTGGAAATATAAATGTGGGAGGTGTCAATACACAGATGATACTTAAAGCCAGAGGACACTGGAGAAGGCCAGCAAAGAAGTGAATGTAGGCAGAAAAGAGAGGCGAACCAAGGCTGACTCTGACAGTATTCCCACAGGAAGAATTTATGATTACAATGAGCAATACCAACAGTAAATAAGTAATCTTTGTATTCTTCCTTTGTAACCTTTCTTAAAGGATGTGTAATAATAGTATCTATTTTTAAATCGCTATCCATTATTCAAGAGTCTGAATTCACTACCAATAAATTATTTAAATATAGTTAAACTATTTTCAAAGTTTTGAGAAACCTAAAACAAAAATAAATTTTCTTCTTGTATTTATTCCATAACTGTTGGAATTCAGAGACACACTTTAGGAATCAAGTTAGTTTTTTTTGCTGTTTTTTTTTGTTTGAGACAGGGTCTCACTCTGTCGCCCAGGCTGCAGGCTGGAATGCAGTAGTGCACTCTCAGCTCACTGCAACCTCTCCACCGACCAAGCTCAAGCAATTCTCCCATCTCAGCCTCTTGAGTAGAACCACAGGCGTGTGCCACCACGCCCAGCTAATTTTTGTATTTTTTGTAGAGATGGGTTTCACTGTGTTGCCCAAGCTGGTCTTGGAACTCCTGAGCTCAAGCAGCCTGCCTGCCTCGGCCTCCCAAAGTGCTGAGATTACAGGTATGAGCCACCGCAGCTGACTGAATTATTTTTTAAATGAAAGGAAAAATGTGTAACACAAAATACTAATTCTTACCTGCAAGGATTAGTAGTAAAAACTGAAAATGGTACCCTTTGTCTGAATTCATTAGTGATGCTTTCAGCAAGTGGTGGCCTATAAAAACAATTTATGTGATATAGTTTATCTTTTTAAATTTTACAACATTTTCTACACTGTTGCAAAAATTTGAACAAAACTTACCTTGGTAAGATGGAACCAAATCCAGGATCCTCTGGACCAGGTACAAACACAAAACGACTACTGTAGCAAAATTCAACACAATTCATTTCAAAATATTATTGTAACACTATCCAATAGCTTAAAAACAAGTAATTCCCTTTGTTTTCACTTTAAAATTAAAAAATGTTTAAATTTCATGCATTATAATAAATGAACTATTAAGTCTCCAGACCAACACTGTCTAGTAATGTGATGATAGAAAAGTTCTATATCCGCACTGTCCAATTGAACACTTGAATTGTGGCTAGCATAGCTGATGGACTGAATTTTATATTTTATTTAACTTCAGTTAAACTTAAATTTAAAGAGACATGTGGCCAGTGACTATCATATTGGAGAGTGAAGCTCTAGACTCTTTTTTTTTTTTTTGACATGGAGTCTGGCTCTGTCGCCCAGGCTGGAGTGCAGTGGGCGGATCTCAGCTCACTGCAAGCTCCGCCTCCCGGGTTTACGCCATTCTCCTGCCTCAGGCTCCCGAGTAGCTGGGACTACAGGCGCCCGCCACCTCGCCCGGCTAGTTTTTTTGTATTTTTTAGTAGAGACGGGGTTTCACCGTGTTCACCAGGATGGTCTCGATCTCCTGACCTCGTGATCCGCCCGTCTCGGTCTCCCAAAGTGCTGGGATTACAGGCTTGAGCCACCGCGCCCGGCCGAAGCTCTAGACTCTTAAGAGTAATGTCACAAAGAAATTCCAAGTATGGCTGAAATTACCTCTATCCCTTTCAATACTTTTCATTATAAACCTCTAGTACAATGTGAGGATAACTTTATCTCTTAGCTCTTTTAATTTTCTCAACTTTATCTTTCTTCCTTAGTTTTGTAATAATTATTGCTGATATGATATAACAAAATTCATTTTTTGTTTTTTTTTTAAGCAAAATGGTGAAAAAGATATACAGTAGTGAGATCATTACCTTTGGTGAATATCTGGGTATTCACATATTATATCTGCCAAAGTTTTTAGGGAATCTAAAATTTTAAAAAGGTATTGAATTAAATTTGCATATAATGCCATAAAAATTATATTTGATTAGACACAATTCTGTATATTCTTAATTAAAATATTATGGATAATTCCTTATTACTTTAGTTTATATGACTATAGAAACACTTCTTATTAAATAGACCCTTAATACCTTTCAAAGCTTGAACTTGATTTTTTCCATATGGTGCAGATGAAAAATTACCACACAGAATAAAGCAGGTTGGAGGTGCTGGTGAATAACCTAAAGAATAAAAGAGTAATGAACAATACTTTTCTAGTCTACAAATCAAGTTAAAAACCTTTAACCATGAGTTTTTAATAATAAAAATTTATTTTAATTAAAATAACATTTTAATAACTTATTAAAATAATACTAATAACCATACTCATTTATTGGGCACTTACTATAGGCCAGGCCTGCACTGGCTTAATTACTCCTTAGAATGTCCATATAATCTGAGACTTAGGTTAAGTAACATGCCCAAGGTAATAGGCTCACACTTAAACCCAGTTTGTTTTTGTTTTTGTTTAGAGATGGGGGTCTCACTATGTTGGCCAGCTGGTCTTGAACTTCAGGACTAATTCTTATTTATCATGACTATAAACACACACACACACACAGGTTTTGTTCTTAATGTAAAAATTTAAGTCTTTAAAATGAAATCTAATTTAAATTATCTCATTGTTAACTCAGTGTTTTTTTTTAAATAGAATACTCAAAAAGATAAATATAATACTCAAAAAGTTTTAAGACATGAACCCTCATAAGAGTTCAAGAAAGAAGAAAAAAAATAAGACCTACCAGCAAACATTATGCGAAGTTTTTCCAATACTTCCACCTGGTCCAACCAAACATCAGATAAAAACACAAACATAGCATCTTTATTCTCTTCTTCTAGTTGTTTTAGTTTTGCAGAAGTCTTCACAGATGTATTAGAAGGACCTCCAAAAAAATTAATATTTCCATAGTATGCCCTAGATAATTATAACATAATTATCTTCTATATACTACTAGAGATATTTTTCTAATAATTTTATACATTTAGCTTCTTTTTATCTAATGAAGTTATTTTCCAGTGTAAATAGGTGAAAATGTACTCTTTGTAATACTTTAAAAGTAGAAAGGTTATCTAAATATTCTAAAATGAGACAAGCAATATGGAAGCAGTAAATAAAATAATAGGCTATATCTGTGTCTTAAAACTGACTAAAGCAAACATTAAAATAACAATTTCCTATGTCGCTGAAAGAGAAATGAGTACACCATTTGAACAATACCTAATAGAAACCTCAAAATATGTGCTAACCATCTGCCCAAGTAATTCCACTTCTGGAATAGTTAATCCTAAGGAATTAAGGATATATACAGAGACTAGCCTATATCCAAGAACTGTGAAAAAAATTATTCAACGGTTCCTTCAAAGCTTAGTTTTATTCAACGCTCACCAAGCAAGGGTCAATAGGAAAGTGGGTAATCTACACACTCCCAGCCTCCACCACTCTTGCCCACTCTACACTGACAGCTTGCAGTTCCCAGCTTAAATGCAAATACCCCAGAGGCCTCCTCTGAGGATCCCAAAAGAGGTTAGATTTTCCCATTATACACTCTCATGGGAACCTGTGCTTCTCCTTTGCAGATCTTATCAAATTTGTAATCAGGCCAGGGTGGCTCACACCTGTAATCCCAGCACTTTGGGAGGCCAAGGTGGGGGGATTGCTTGAGGTCAGGAGTTCAAAACCAGCCTGACCAACATGGTGAAATCCACCCAGTCTCTACTAAAAATATGAAAATTAACCAGGTGTCGTGGCAGGCACCTATAATCCCAGCTACTTGGGCGGCTGAGGCAGGAGGATCGCTTGAACCTAGGAGACGGAAGTTGTAGTGAGCCAAGATCGTGCCACTGCACTCCAGCTTGGGTGACAAAGCAAGATTTAGTCTCAAAAAAAAAAAAAACAAATTGTAATTGGCCAATTGTAATTGGGCATTCTTTCATGTCTGTCTCCCCCACCTAGTGGCAAAAAGTATGTGCTCAAAACATATTTCCTAAATGTCACAAATCATGCTATAAAACTATTTCACAGTAATAGAAAATGTTGATAGCATATTATTAGATGAAAAACACGTACAAAGCAAGGTACAGTATGTATCCATTTATAGTGCCAAAAAAAGGGAATATAGACCTCTGCATTCATGCATAAAAAGAAACTCTCCAGATACACATACATACCCTGTTATAGTTGATTTCCTTTTTTTTTTTTTTTTTTTTTAAAAGACGGAGTCTCACTCTGTCTCCCAGGCTGGAGTGCAGTGGTGCATGGTGCAATCTCAGCTCACTGCAACCTTCGTCTCCCAGGTTCAAGCAATTCTCCTGCCTTAGTCTCCCAAGTAGCTGAGATTACAGGCACGTGCCACCATGTCCAGCCAATTTTGTATTTTTAGCACAGATGGGGTTTCACCATGTTGGCCAGGCTGGTCTTGAACTCCTGACCCCAAATGATTTGCCCTCCTCGGCCTCCCAAAGTGCTGGGATTACAGGCATGAGCCACCATGCCCAGCCAGTTGATTCTTGTTATTAGTGATAGTTATGTTCTATAAAATCTCCACAATGAATTGGCAAACACTGAACCACTGCTCCATGGGAAAATTTGTACATATATATACGTGGATTGATTATAGTCTTAAGTCCTAAAACCAGTTTATCCTGGTAGATTCTAATTTACAAATGAGAAAAGTTTAGTGACTTGTCTCAGGTTGCTCCAAAAACAAGTGCCAGAGCTGAGATTCAAATGCCCCCTCTCCACTCACAACTGGCCCCAGGGCCAGAGCTTCTTGCACTACCCTGTACTGCTCCCTGCAGTCTCTGTCCTCTGGTCATCTCTTTTTTTTTTTTTCTTTTTGAGATGAGTCTCGCTCTGTCACCCAGGCTGGAGTGCAATGGCGTGATCTTGGCTCACTGCAAACTCCGCCTCCTAGGTTCATGCCATTCTCCTGCCCCAGCCTCCTGAGTAGCTGGACTACAGGCGTCCGCCATCCCCCCCACTAATTTTTTTTTCTTTTTTTAGTAGAGACAGGGTTTCATCGTGTTAGCCAGGATGGTCTCGATCTCCTGATCTAGTGATCCGCCCGCCTTGGCCTCCCAAAGTGCTGGGATTACAGGCGTGAGCCACCGCGCCTGGCCCCTCTGGTCATCTCTTAATGAAGCTGAAACAAGAGGGCAGTGTGGCCTTGTTCGACTTCAGCTGGGAACATGCATGCCAGGTGACTCAAAATTTTTTGCTGTTCTGCTGAGCATAAATGACTAAAGCACCTTTAGTATTGGCTTTAGGAGGTACAAAAACATTTTAGCACAAATCTGTAAATAATGAGGATCTACTATATATGGACAGTCATGCACAGCATAACATTTTGGCACTGCATATATGAGTGGTTTCATAGAATGACAATGGAACTGAAAAGCTCTTATTGCCTAGTGACATCTTAGCTGTCAAAATGTCCTAGTGCCATACATTACTGTGTTTGTAGAAACCCTGGTGTATACAACCTACTGAGCTGCCAGTTGCAGGAAAGTAGAGCACATACAATAATGTACAATATGTAGCACTTGATAACAATAATAAATGACTATGTTACTAGTAAATATGTAAACATTTACTGTACTTTTAATCATTATTTTAGAGTGTACTCCTTCTACTTTTTTTTTTTTTTTTGAGTTAACTGTAAAACAGCCTCAGGCAGGTCCTTCAGGAGGTCCTTCAAGAAGAACGCATTGTTACTACAGATGGCAGCTCCATGAATTATTGCCCCTGAAGACCCTCCAGTGGAAAAGATGTGGAGGTGAAAGATAGTGATACTGATGACTAACTGTGTATAGGCATAGGTTAATACATTTGTCTTAGTTTTTAACAAAAAACATTTTTAGAAAATATAAAGATGGAAAAAAGTGGCTGAGCACAGTGGCTCATGCATGTAATCACAGCACTTTGGGAGGCTGAGACAGGAGGACTGCTTGAGGCCAGGAGTTCGAGACCAGCCTGAGTAACATAGTGAGACCCTCCCCCACTAATCCCTACACAAAAATTTTTTTTAATTAGCAGTCCTAGCTACTTGGGAAGCTGAGGCAGGAGGAACACTTATGTCCAGGAATTTGAGGTTGCAGTGAGCTATAATCCAGCCTGAAGAGAGGAGTAAGATTCTGTCAGTAAGTCAATTAATCAATGAAAGAAAAAAGCTTACAAAATCAGGATATAAAGAAACAATTTTTGTGCAGCTGTACAATGTGTTTTAAGCTGTTTATTACAAAAGAATCAAGAAGTTTAAAGTTTTTTAAAGTTTCTAAAGTAAGAATGTTATAGTAAACTACAGTTAATTTCATTAAAAAATTTTTCTTTTAAGACAGGGTCTTGCTTTGTCACTCTGGCTGGAGTACAGTGGCACAATCATAATTGACAGCAGCCCTGAACTCCTGGGCTCGAGCAATGCTGCCACTTCAGCTCACCAAGTAGCTAGGACTACAGGCACACACTGCCACACCCAGCCAATTTTTGTTGTTGTTGTTGTTGTTGGTAGAGATGAGGTTTTGTTATGCTGTCTAGGCTGGTCGCAACCTCCTGGCCTTAAGCGATATTCACTTCAGCCTCCCAAAGTGCTAGGATTGATTACAGGTGTGAGCCACTGTGCCCAGCCTAGGTTAATTTCTTACTGAAGAAAGAGAACCTTTTTTGGCCGGGCGCAGTGGCTCACGCCTGTAATCCCAGCACTTTGGGAGGCCGAGGCGGGCAGATCACGAGGTAGGAGATCGAGACCATCCTGGCTAACACGGTGAAACCCCGTCTCTACTAAAAATACAAAAAATTAGCCGGGCGTGGTGGCGGGCGCCGGTAGTCCCAGCTACTCAGGAGGCCGAGGCAGTAGAATGGCGTGAACCTGGGAGGCGGAGCTTGCAGTGAGCCGAGATCACGCCACTGCACTCCAGCCTGGGCGACAGAGCGAGACTCCGTCTGTCTCGTCTGTTTTTATTTAAAAAGAGAAAACTCTTTTTAAATAAATTTAGTGTAGCCTCAGTGTACAGTGTTAATAGCGTACAGTAGTGTACAGTAATGTCCTAGGCCTTCAGATTCACTCACTACTCACTTACTGACTCACCCAGAGCAACTTCCAGTCCTGCAAGTTCCATTCATGGTAAGTGCTCTATATAGGTGTACCAATTTTATCTTTTACACCATAGTTTTACTATATCTTTTCTACAATCTAGATAGACAAATACTTATCATTGTGTTACAGTTGCCTATAGTATTCAATACAGCAACATGTCATACAGGTTTGTAGCATAGAAGCAACAGGCTGTACCATACAGCCTTGGTGTGCAGTGGGCTATATCATCTAGGTTTGTGTAAGTACACTGTGATGTTTGCACAATGCCATAATCACCTAACAACACATTTCTCACGATGTATCCCTGTTATGTAATACACAACTGTATATACATATAAAATGTAATGTTAACAGTGTTTTCTCTGTTTAGTAAAATTACAGGTGATTTTCCTTTCCTTTTGTGTGCCTTTATATATTTTCTAATTTTTTTTTTTGCAATCATGAACTACATTATTAATGAGAAAAAAACTTTTTTTTTTAAAGACCCAACTACTTTTCCAATGCAGCATACCAGCTTGAGTCAGAAACTTTGGGATCAAAGCACATCTCTAACACTAAAAAGTTTGGGCCAGGCGCAGTGGCTCACACCTATAATCCCAGCCTCCCTCTGGAAGGCTGAGGCAGGTGGATCGCCTGAAGTTGGGAGTTCAAGACCAGCCTGACTAACATGGCAAAACTCTGTCTCTACTAAAAATACAAAATTAGCTGAGTGAGGTGGCACATGCCTCTAATCCCAGCTACTTGGGAGGCTGAGGCAGGAGAATCATTTGAAACCGGGAGGTAGAGGTTGCGGTGAGCTGAGATGGTGCCATTGCACTGCAGC